GACATTACTCCTAAGTACTGAAAATAAACAACTCTACCTGGCATCTATCTACAACACTCAGAATGACATCCAGCCACTTCAAAGGTAGAATGATGTCTGTGATTCCAACATGCATGGACCAAAAAATACTGAATACTGGAGTTCTGGAATCTGTTCAAAAGAGTAGCTTTTGGCCAATCAATCACCCATGAGCACAAAGATTTCTTTATCAGTGTGATGACACTATAGTGTCTGGAAACAACATATACTAAATGCAATATAAACCAGTAATTTAAAAAAATAATTATCTTGAGCCAAAATTTGAATTATTGGAAGATGTACGGGCTACTTGGCTGAAAAGGTGAGTAGGATGACTACTAAATCTGTTTTAAGTTTTTCCTAACCACCTGGTAAAAATTACTTCGCTTCTCTTGCCTCATCTCCAAGTTCCTGACACATTCCTTCTGTGGTAGTCAACTTCATTTGTCTATTACTAATGCCCTAGATTACTAATGGAAGTAATATCCTACATGTTAATTTTTCTCCTCAGCAAAGACACAGGGAGTGTAGTGTTTACTGGCTAGCAAGCCTAAACTTAAGAATTTTATAAGAAAATAGCCTCTCCACTTTATTTGTAGAATCCACAATATAAGTAATTTACCAGTCAAATGGGGATGATAACAATAAAGGCTGGAGAGAGAAACGTTAAGTGCAAGAGTCAGCGTGCATAAGATCACACTGCACTGCCAATGATGGTGCTGCAGCCCTAGGAGCACAGCTAAGGATAAAACATGTTTTGGAGAAAACCAGAAAATGACAAAAAAGGGGGTTGGTTTAAAAAGCAACCCATGGCTTCACACTCTTTCCATCAGTTCTTAAAAATTACATTTGTTTTTGAAACTGAAATCAAGATTCTCTTGGCTGCATTTTAAGTTTTCTCATGCTTTTATCACAGCTGTCTGCAAGAACAGAAAGGATGGTAAGAAAAGATGCTATCATGCAAGAAGCCAAAATAAATGAATTTTGTCACCTGCTACTTTCCTTTTAAAGTCACAAGAGTAGCAATAGATAACTTCAAACTGATGACAAGCACCTTTATAGAATTAACTGTACTACCCACTATAATCAGTTCTCTTGCAAAGTTAAATAAAATTAAAAATTACTGGGTAATTAAACTATGATTATGCCAATTTTGAACTTCTGAATGAACTAGCTGCACATTCACTTGGCAAAGAGAAAACAGGATGCAAACAGGCAATGTGTCAGATGGGCTTCCAGAAGTCAATTTTCTTTGGGGAGACAGAGAGGATTAAATTTACCATAAAGATGAACACTTTTTAAAATCAGGCTATGGTAAGTATAAATCTAAAATTTATACTACACATATGTATACCCATTGCACAGTACATGCCTGGAGCACAGTGAACTGCAGGAAATTTCACAATCAACTCCCAGCTACTCACCATATTATATAGTAGGGGTAGGTGTTGAAACAAGTTTCAGGTGCCAGACTAAGCCTTTTGCTTTTCAGTTGAAAAAATTATGCTAACATGCCAACTTTCTCCTGTTATTATTAGTTTTTTTTGGTCATTTGAACTACGATTCTCTCAAAAATCACTGTAGGAAATGAGTGATTCAGAACTCGACAATTGTGTTCTAACCCCAATGCCAGAGGGTTTAGCAGTTTGTAATAAAAACTCAATTCTAATCAAGATCAGGAAAGTCTTTAAAACAAACAAACAAACAAAAAACACCTTCAAGGTCATTTGAACCAACTCTTTTCACCAGTACTGTGTGTTATTGAGATTGAGCCCAGGGCCCACCTCTAAACTACATTGTCCCCCATTTTTAGTTTTAGTTTGAGTCACTAAGTTGCCCAAGATAGCCTCAAATTTACAATCCTCCTACCTCAGCTGAGATTTCAGGCCTGCACCACGGTACTTAGCTTATACCAGTACTTCTATATATATTATACTAGCCTGCTTCTAAAATGTCTCATGGAAGAAATGCTGAATTTTCTTGAGAAACTGTTGGTATTGAGCAAAATATCAGAACAGTTTTCCCATGGTGAGTATATTTTTGATCAAACTCTGAAAATATTTCTTTGTGTTTTCCTGTACTTACCCGTAATGTCAGTGTGCCCATACTCTTGTTATGGAACAGTTAGAATAACTCATACACATTCAATGTGGAAATCTGCTTTCTGTTTCTACTGATTTAACTTTTTTCTTTTGTGGTACTGGGGATTGAACTCAGGGCTCTCTACCACCCTTTTATTTTGGAACAAGATTTTGCTAAGTTGATGAGGCTGGCCTCAAACTTGCAATCCTCGTGCCTCCCGAGTTGCTAGGATTACAGGTATAGCCACCATACCTGGCCTGTGGTTTAACTCCTGTTGCTTATTAAATGCTTTGCAAGCAAATACAAGTATTTATCATTTTATAAATGTGATAAAGCCTTAGTCATGTTGGCTTCTGCTTTAAAATATGTTCTGACACTCACACAGCTGATAGAAATGTGAAGATGATACAGCAACTTTGGAAAACAGACTGTCATTTCCTTAAAATGGGAAAATACAGAGTTACCATATCATCTATCAAACTCACTCCTAGGTACATACCCAAGAGAAATAAAAACCTATGTCCATGTTGAGATTTGTGCACAAATATTAACCAAGGGATTATTCATAATAGCCCAAAGTGGAAATAATCTAAATGCCCATCATCTGATAAGCACATAAACAAAATGTGGTAGCAATAGAATATTATTCGGCCATAAAAAGGAAATTATGATACATGCTATGTCAGGGATAGGCCTTGAAAACATTATGCCAAATGAAAAGAATAAGTCACAAAAGAACACATATTATATAATTCCATTGATAAGTAATGTCCAGGACAGATAAATCTATAGAAATAAAAAGTAGATTAGTGGTTGCCTAGAGATGGGGGGATGTTGGGGGTGGGAATAACGAAAGACATGACTTTCCCTCATTCCCTTTGCAGTACCAGGGGCACTTTATCACTGAGCTGCATCCTCAGCCCTTTTGATTTTGAGACAGTCTCACTAAATTGCCAAGGCTGGTCTCAAACATGTAATCTGCCTGCCTTAAGTCTCCCAAGAACTGGGATTACAGGTGTGTGTCACCATTCCCCATGAGTTTCTTTTGAAGAAAATGTTCTGAATTGTCTGGTGATGGTTGTTCATAACTGAATATACTAACTATTGAATTACACATTTTCAGTGGGTGAGTTGTGTTTGTTAATTACAATAAAAGAGTTACTAAAAAAATTGTTCTGAGACATGAGGTGTTTGAGAATCAGCAAACCTCTTCTAGAAAAAAGGTTTTGATTAAACTAAAACCACTGTAATTGAAACCAGCTTGCAGTATCTTGATGTGTATACATTTCTAAAATGTGAATGCAGTTTTAGGAAAATACATCATTACATCAGATATTCCAGGCAGCCTGCCATGAGACTTTTTTTTTTTTTAACAACCCCCCACAAAAAAAGTCTTAAAAGGAATCCGTTTAATCAACTTCAGAGTATATGTTCTCTCTTGTTGCTTCATCTCCTTAAGCCATCATCTCCCTAAAACTCGCATGTTAAAACAGTACTTGGGCATGATTAATTCATTCATTTAACAAATAGTTGAACCTGTCCTGTACACCAGGCATGGTTTTAGGTATGTGAATGTGTGTGCAGACAAGCAGCAAGACAAAGTCCTTACTCTTGTGGAGTATTTAACTCAATAGGACAGGAGAAACAATAAATGAGTTTTAAAAACTTATTTAAAGCAAGGTACCATACCATGGAGTAGTTAGGAAAGGAGGCTTCTCTGAGGAAGTGATGCTTGAGGTGAGAAAAGAAGGTACAAACCACACAAAGATCAGGGAAGAGAACTGCAAATAGAGGAAATAATTCCTGAATAGAGAATGGGGGGAGGGGTGTTATCTGTGTGCTGGTGACCAACCCTCCTCTGTGATTCTCATTCACTAACAAGCACGAAGATATCTGGGAGGACCGAGATGCCTTACCCACCTTAGACCATTAAAATGTCTCCTGACTCTTCAACTAAAGGAAGCTGTCTTGCGTCCTTCAGCAACTGTTCACTCACTCACTCTTGTAAACCATAATGGACTGTGCAAAGAGTCCCAGGACTTTTAAGACAAGACATGCACCTGACAACTTTTAAGGTAGGAAACAAGCTAGCAGCACAATAAATGAAGGTAAAATCAACAAATACAGAGTACAAAGTAAAAGTAGGCCAGAAAGAATTGTAAAATGTGAGGGTATCCAGGATGACTGCCAACAGGAGAATCAGAGGAGTTTCATGGGGTGGAACCACCAGAGCAAGGAATGTCTAGACTGAGAATTTGGACATATGGGTAGAACAAACAGATTTGCTTTTATCTCTAACTTCAAATATAATTAAAAAATATTTTCAGCTCCCCAACCTGGTCACAATCTCAAGGAAAAAAGGCTTGATACTTCTCCTATCTCTGTGATTTTTAGTTTAGTATTTTGCAGAGATGGGCCATTCATTTGTTCATTCACTGCAAGAGATAAGTTATCAATTTCAGCCCTGAAGAAAGGCTAAATTACTTTTTGCTTCATAAAGAGCTTGTGGCCTTTGAAAGAAATGATTCCTGGAAACCACTTACTACACTATTCATCTCATTTCAGAGGGACATTCCTAAGAGGTTTCTCAAAACTAAATCATATTACATATAAACAGGGATATGCAATGTGCTTCTGAATATAATACACGTATTTAAAAATTTCCACATGTACTTGTGCCTATATACATATTCCTTAAGTTCAGTATCTCAAAAATATTTTAAACTTGGACTGCTAAACTGAAGCTTTTTTTTTTCTTTCACTCAACACACTTTATCATCCAGTCCTTCAAAATCCCTTCCCGTCCCAACAAAGCATCTTAAACCAGAGAAGAAAAACCAACAACATTTTCTTAGGCAGTGTCTCAACACCTCCAAAAGGTATTCCATGGCCAAACTCACCATAAAGAGCTGTCCAAGTTTGATTAATTACATCTAGACACACAGTTCCTGACCTGAAACAGATGGAAAGAATGGTATTTTTTAAAAAAATTAGAAAGTTAGTTGCATGTATCTGGCAACTAATTTTATTTATCACGAAAACACCTTTAATAGATCCTTAAATTTTAAAAATGGGGGAAAGTATAATGAGGAGCAAAATATTTACAAGGTCATAGGTGTCTCCTTACAGACTGAAAAGGAAAAATAATTATAAGAAACCAATAAACACCTGAGCCAGGTGGTCGGAATTAACATTGGAAACAAGGGGCAGATAGAGCTGTGATACCCTGATAAACACAAATTTTCCCTGTGTGGTTAAGCGTGTGCATACCCTGAAACTAATACAGAAACGGACAAATCCAAATTGTGGGAGAACTTATAAAATAAATTATCTATATTCTAAATGAAAGTAATTTTAAAGAAATGACAAATAAATGCAATATGTGGTTCTGGACTAAATCTTTTACTAAAAGGGGAAAAAATGCTAAAAAGTACATTACTACAATATAGCAATAGACTATAAAGTATTACATTAAGTTCCTGAATCTGGAAACTACTTTGATTACTACATTTTGTTGTTAGGATGACTGATATGCTGAAATATTAAAGCACAAAGGGACACAATATATGTACCAACCTACTCACACAAAGTTCAGAGAAATCTCACAGGTAAGCTTTATGAGGGCAAAATGGGATACTGTGAAAAGTAAAAACTGCAGTCCAAATGGTCATGCCTTCTAAATAGCACTGGAGAGGGACACAAAGACTGCACTGGGACCACTTTAACATACCATTAACACCACAAGGAAAGAAAATGAAAATGAAGATTCACAACTGAAACAAAACTTTTCTCTCAAGAACTAAGAAATACATTTATGGGCTAAAAATGGCAAATCTGTATGCCAAAAACAGATCTCTGAGCTGTGTCTATATGATGAGAACTAAGATGTGAAACATTGCAAATGTTAGCTGGATATCAAGGGAAGTGAAGGATGCAGGCATGACAATGGAAAAAATTAACAATGTACAGCGAACCAGAACTCAGTGGTTTAAAAGAGCATATCCCTAGGACTGTACAGTTTAAATGACACTCATAGTCCACCTCCCCCATAAAATCCTAGATGATAAATACAGATTATTTCATAACCAGGAGAGAAAAAAGAACTCTAATCAAAAGCAGTTGCTACTAAAATGTAAACATTTTTAAATAGTTACTTACGCTTCATCAATGTTGGGATGGAAAATTTTATTCATGAATCCTGTAAAAAGAGATGTTAATTAGCAGCAAAAAGTATCCAGAGAACAATGAGTTTTAAAGTATGTCAGAAACAACTTCAGTATGATAAGGAAAAAGGTGATAATACTCATAAACCAATACTTTCAACCTTAGATCATTGGCTATTGATAAGACTATATTCTGTTGGCTCCAATTAACTAAAATATATGAGAGTTCTAGTAACAAACAAACAACTTTTGGGGAGTAATGAAACTTTATACAAAATAATCTTAAAAGCAAGTGCTTCCTAAGCTATGAAGGTACTTGCCAAAGAAGATTTTTTTAATACTAAATGATTTATAACTAGTGTTATGATAAACATTAAGAAACTTCACTGACAACCCCCCACCACACACACACAGTTTTATTGTTCAAGCTCTAAACTTTAGGTTCTGCACTTGAACTTCTCCTTCTGAGGCTCATTTACCGTCATCATTAGGCTACACCTTGTACGGAACATGAATGAAGCTGTTGAAATGTTGTAGGAACACCACTTGCAAACCACAAAGGATTTCACAAGAAGTGACCAAAATATTTCCTTTAATTTTGTCTACTCATTCAAGGAAACCCAATCTTGATTAAAATTGAGGCAACTAAGAAATTAGGCAAGGAGTTTTAAAAAATTCTTCAAGATGGCTGCATCTGTCAGGGATTTTTTTTCCCCCTAAAAAACAAGTACAGATTTTAATGTACTGCTGTTTAAATTGCAAGGAGAAATTATTTTCTAACTTAGAATCAATGATTTAAGCAATATTTGTATATGCAAATGACAATACTCTAAAGCAGAGATCTATTGTCAAAGCTGTCATATTGTCATTTTTTCCACTTTATTTCCTTACTGCAGCAGTTTTTGCTATTGCTGTGCCCCAACCCCACCTTCCCTCACCCATCCCCACAGGTTCACTCCCTCATTCGAAACATAGCAGCAACACCTACATGACAGCAGTTGTGCTTTTTTAGGGTACAAAAATGAAACAATACACCATTCTCCAAAAGGTCACTAAAGAAGGACAAGAGCCAGGAAGAAATAAATGCAATGTGTATAAGGTATGGACACAGGGTACACGTGGAAAGGGGAAGAGTCTTAAAGATTCAGAGAGGCAGCACCGCAAGTGCTGCAAGTGAGCTGCCATGGACATTATCTCCAAAAATCTTAGAAACTTTATTCGAATTAGCAATTGTGGGAAAAGAATACAAAACCTCCAATATTCCAGTCTTTGACTGCTCTAGCTACTCCAAATACTAATCCTGCTTCAATTTCTGTTTTTACATTCTTTTTACTCTCTGTACTGAAACAGTTTTATCTACTATAATGAAGAGTGTTTAAATTCTTTAGATGCCCCCCACCCGCCCCTCAACACAAAAGCCAGGTTCAATATTAATTTTTCATTAAGGAAAATGAAGATGTTTCAAAGTCTAGACTTAAGGGGTATGTATTTTACAAAGAGATCATAATAAGCTGATAGAAATGGTCATGCCTAAATATTAAAAAACAGGGGGAAAAGTTCCAGATGGCCATAGTTATTCATAGCAGCATTGTTATAAAAGCCTAGAACCAAATTCGACCTCATGAACACGAGATGAGCTATAAAGTACCCATACACTTGGGAGTCCTATACAGCCAAACATAATCAACTAGACCAATATGCACTAACTTGGATAGAGATGAAGCTCAGTTAAAAAGAAAAAACACATATAGTTACAGCATACTAAAATAAAGCAATAATTCTTATCTCCATGCTTTAAGTATGGAAAAACATATCAAAGTTGTAAAAGTATTTCATGTAGGGTACAGGGCCATGGCCATGGTGGGAATAGGGAACAGAAGAGGAAATAGCAATTAAAAATGATTTTATCTGTCACTATATTCCTTTTAAAAAGGGACAAAGTGCTTGTATATTATTTACTATTTTTTAAATGTTTAATACAAGCATGCACATAGACAAGAAACAGGAAGCAAATATGAACAAAGATTAGCAGTGTCCAATTCTTGATGGTGCAGGCCTTTTCTCCCCTGCATTTTCCATATCCTATCACTCCCTCTGTCACCCCTGTACCAGAAGTGGGATTGAGAAGATGTGAAAGGCCAGTGTCAACAGTAGTCGTTTTTGAGAGACTCCCCCATGATTTCTCTCTTCTTTTGACTCTCCTAAATTTCTATAATGTGTAACGTCAATAGTTAAACAAAAATCACTTTCAGTCTGGGTGCAGCAGTCCAGGCCTGTAATGCCAGTGACTTGGGAGGCTGAGGTGGGTGCATCTCAAGTTCAAGGCCAGCAAGGGCAACTTAGTGTAACTCTATCTCAAAATAAAAAAGGCTGGGGATGTAGCTCAGTGGTAGAGTGCTTGCCTAGCATGAGTGCAGCCTTGGGGTTAATCTCTAGTACAAAAACAAACAAAAAACTCTTTAAATAAAAAGATCATAAACAACAAGTCTTCTAAAGTAATCTAATTATACATGAGTTAACTAGTGCTGAAACCTTTTAAGAGAAATGTTATCATGTTCACATCTTAATTTCTCTTGTTTAAAACAATTTTGGGGGAGGGGAGTGGTACTGGGGATAAACCCAGGGGCCTTCTACTACTGAGTTACGACACTCTAGCCCTTTTCATTTTGAGACAAGGTTTTGCTAAATTGCCAAGGGCAGCCTCAAATTTTTGATCTTCCTGCTCAGTCTCTGGGATTACAAGTATATACCACAGCATTAATCAAAAAATCCTTGGGTTCTAAGGCATGTCATCTTCAAGATCAGTTACATAGGAATATGCTGTTTTCCCTAATGCAAGGAAACTTTTTTTTTTTTTGGGGGGGGGGGCGGGTGGGCACGGTGAGGCCAGGGATGAAACCCAAGACCTCACTTGTACTAGGCACTACCACTGTTACCTCCCCCAGCCCAAGAAACTTTCTGATGAGTGGGAAACAATGTTGGGCCACCATGTAGTCTAACTAAAGAGAATGGTTCTACTATGGGAAAGTAATATGTTCTTTTTTTTTTTTGGTGGTGCTGGGGATTGAACCCAGGGCCTTGTGCATTCTAGGCAAGCACTCTACCAACTGAGCCATATCCTCAGCACCAAGTAATATGTTCTTGGTACTTACTTAAAATCCTGCCTCTGTTAGAACCCTTAAAACTAATACCTAGTGGAGAGTATCTATGGCAAAAGTTCCTGATGCTGGCTACAGATGAGAATCACCTGCAGAAACAAAATAAGTGCTAGGTTATAAAGTGGCTAGTGTTGGGGCTGGGGTTGTGGCTCAGTGGTAGCGTGCTCGCCTAGCATGCATGAGGCACTGGGTTCGATCCTCAGCAGCACATACAAATAAAGACAATAAAGTCCATCAACAACTTAAAAAAAAAAAAATTAAAGTGGCTAGTGTTATAGGAAGGCTGGGATAGGAGTTGCAATTTTAAACATGATGGTGAGGGAAGGCCTTCCCGAGAAGATGCCTTATCCTGAAGGAGGCGCAAGAGCACCAAGGGGAAGAACATTTACTCAGCCCAAATGCTCAAGTGCAAAGCATATCAGGAGTTTGCTTAATGCATTTGAAGGTCAGCAAAGGCATTAGTGACACTGAAACGGAATAAGGGATATAAGACCAGAAGTGGGTCCCAGAAGTGGGTCACAGAGGTGATCAGCACACTGAGGGCTCTTTTACATTCTGAGGGAGACAAAGCCACTGAAGCTAGTGTCTGACATACTAATATAGTATCCATATCATTGAATTAAAAAAGAAAGGCTAGTTGGAGAACAGCTCAATCAGCTCATAGCAGTTCAGTGTTGGGGAAAGAAGATGAGGAATGGCTGGTCTCACATAAAATGGAAAGGGAATCCTAGAAATGAATTAAGCTTCAACAGTTTGATGCCACAGGGCACCTTAAAGGTGTAAGTCAAGAAAACAGCTGTGATAAAGAACTTTAAATGTTTATCAAAACTGTCTTTAAAAGATTAAAGTGCTTCCCTCATTGACCATGGCCTGGAGAATACATTTGGAATGAATATAGGTTCTACACTGTTTTCAATTAAATCTAGATTTGGCCTGGTTGAGTCTAGGAGTACATAGTAGACAGGCCCAAAAAGGACTTAGTAAACATGCTTTAGTAATAAGTGAATTGGGCCCAGTCCCTAGTGCCCTGCAAGACTAAAATACCATATGAGCTCTGGAACAGAGGGCAGAAGCAGACAGCAAAGAGCAAAGTAGTACACAAGGGTTCTAACCCCAGTTCTGCTCTCAACCATAGGCCCTGGGTCAGTCACTTCACTTCTGGGGTATGTTTCTTTATCTATAAAGAAAAATAGCTAGATTTCCAAAATTCCCACTCTTATTCTATTTTAAAAGGTCCTGTCAGCACCAAAAATCTAGGAGTTAACTATAATGAACAGAGTTCCGAGACCAGAGGACTTTATCAAAACACATTTTCTAAATTAAAATGACCTCTCCTTATTCCAAACTTTTTTAATTGTTTAAAAGAATGTATCCAAAGTAAGTCCATGAAAAGGAACATGTCTCCTTTGCATTTGTTCTTGGACAAGCTGTGAGCAGTATTTCTGGCATTCATTTACATTCTGGACAACAATGCCAACAATGGAACTTCTGGACCAGGACGGGAGACTGGGAAAGAACAGGCTAGGAATTCTGAGAAGGAACATTCTCAGGACCCAGTGTTTGCCCTGGCATGTTCTCCTTCCTTTTGGCAAGGCTATCACCACACTAATGAATATGTCTGCAAGAAGAAAATTTTCCCAACACTTGTTTCCATTCAACCAGGAACTATTTTGAAGATATTTTAAGAGAACATATTTTGAAAAAAAAAAAAAAATTTTTTTTTTTGGAAACATGATAAAAGGAAGCGGCAAGTCTTTTTCCTTTTTTTTTAGTGCTGGGGATCAAACCCAGAGTCTCAAATGTGTTAGGACAAGCATTCTACCTGAGCCCACCAAATAATTTTTAATCTATATGACTTGAGATTTTATTTACTACAT